ACAGATATTACTCAGTATACAAAAGTAAAAGGCAAAGAAATTTATTATAATTTGAATACTAAAATATCTGAAATTTTTAAATCTGATGATGTTGTTAAAAAAGAAAACGAAGAGAATACAAAAGACAAAGAAATTTATCATAATTCGAATACTAAAATATCTGAAGTCCTGAAATCTGATGATGACGTTAAAAAAGAAGAACAAGAGAATATACAACAACAGTTGAATGAGCAAACATTGAAACTTAATCAAATACTGGCATCCCATGAGAAAGCTGTTGATGAATATATTAGAGGCAAGGAAGAAGAGATGAAAAGACAATTCGAAGGAGATAAACAAAACATCTATAACGAATTTAATCAACATCTTGTCACTGAACTGAAGAGACAATTAACGAAACACAAAGAAGAATTGAAGAATGAACTTATTAGACAAGCTATAAATTTAGAACGTGGGTGGAACAGGGATGCGAAGTTGTTGATTGAGCAAGAAAGAGCAGGACGACTGGCCAGACTTGATCATATTTGTCAACGATTAAAAATACTTGAACTATTAAGTGCTGACAATGCAGAACATTTAGACAAAAGTCTGAAAGCACATAAATTATGGCGTGCATTAAAATCATTCCAAGAAATTATTAATGGTAAACTTGATGGCGATAAGAGACCGTTCAGCAATGAGATAGCAACGCTGAAGAAGATAGGATCAGGCGATGAGGTGATCGTCACAGTTTTATCAACCATAGATGATTCAATCAGCAGCAATGGAATAGAATCAACAATCAACTTATCAAACAGATTTAATAATGTTAAACAAGCGATTAGACGCGCATCTTTAATACCAGAAGAAGGAGGAGGAGTGTTTGCACATTTGCTATCACATATATTATCTAGGCTGTTATTCCATAAACATGGATTAGTTGAAGGAAATGATGTTGAGGCAATATTGGCCAGAACTCAATATTACCTTGACAGTAATGATTTAGATAATGCAACACGTGAATTAAATCAATTAGTCGGTTGGCCTAAAAAATTGGCAGAAGATTGGTTAAAGGCTGCCAGAAATCATTTAGAAATCAAACAAGCCATTGAGGTTAGTATATAAATAGCTATTATAATTGTATGAATTAATTCTCATTTTAATTGTTGATTGGGTTTTTTAATTGTTGGTATGTTAATACCTTGTCATTTTTTAGGTAATTGAAACCCAGGCAATATTATCTAGTATGTCAGTTTCATAATAATAATGATAATAATAATATGTCTATCAGGAAAGCAAAAGAATAAAATATTCAGTTAATAATTTTGTTTTGATTATT